TCAAGCAGAAGGCTCATCTACTACTAAATGACCGCCAGCCCATGCCCAATATAGAAGGGAAGAGCAACCCCAGGGGAAATGATTGTCTCTCCACAGGCTCTTCCTTGACGAGTGCCAATTATTTGCCTTGGGACTCTGAACAAAATCTTTCTTCTAGTGTGCATGAATGAGAATGGCATTCATTTTCCAAAATACTACTTGGAATCTATGTGCTTCTGCATCACGAGCAGTCACTCTTCTGACTTCTGTTCAGTCACTTATTTTAAACATGCCCCCAAAATGCAGAATGATAAAGGCTACGTGTGAATCGGTTCAACGTAAAGAATTGATTGTCTTGCCTGGTGATCTAAAAATTTAAAGACCATTTACTTAATGGCAGGAAAAGAAATGCCTCCCTTCCAGATTTTCAAGTGTTCGAACCACCGTCATATTCAGGTGGATTTTTTTGGGTGAGTTTTAACATTAAAAAAAAAACTACTGAACCATCATCTTTCTTTTTTACATTTTTCATTTCTCTCTTTAACTGAGAGAGTACATGGTGGTTACGAGTTTTGGAATCAACTTGGTTCAAATCCTTGCTCTTCCACATCTCCTAACCTCTCCATGATGTAGTTTCCACAACTATAAAATAAGGATAAAGTAATATTTTATTTTTATTAATAACAGTACCTATGTCATCAGGTTCTTATAAGCATTAATAAGATAAGGGTGAATATTCAATAAATGATAACATGTCTTCATAGCAATAGAACTAGTCATTGTAGACTTGGCAGTGCTTTTCATACGGTGTGTGGTCAGAGGGTGTGGTTAGATATGGCTGCTCTGTCTGCTCCCATTTCCCCTCTTCCCATATTTTAAAAGTAGCTTAATTCTGGATCTACTTCTACTCTACTTCTCTAGACTTCTGCTTGTTTCAATTTTTTGTCCTTTCTTATTACTAAATTTCTTAATTTATTCCACAGGTTACCTTAGGTCTAATTTTACTTTATTTACTTATTTTTAAGATTTTATTTATTTATTTGACACAAAGAGAGAGAGAGAGAGAGGCAGACAGGGAGAGGGAGAAGCAGACTCCCCACTGAGCAGGGAGCCCAATGCAGGGCTCAATCCCAGGACCCCAGGATCATGACCTGAGCCAAAGACAGACACTTAATGACTGAGCCACCCAGGCATCCCTAGGTCTAATTTTAAGTTGAAGAACAACTTTGATTTCCTTTTATTTTCCTATAAGAAATCAAGCCTGCAAGGCAGTTATACTTTTAAGAAGTAAACATTTTTAAAAGGGCCAGAAATTAACATAGCATTACCTTAGCATCTTTTATTAACACGGATGACACATGAAGACTCAACTATTTTTGATCTTCACTGGCAAGCTGCCATTCCACGTTTCCTCCCCCAACTTATCCCTGTTACCAGCATTTTCAATTTTAGGTATCCACTCAATGTAAAATAAACAAACAACTGTCATTGTAGGTTTGAAATTTAGCATTCTATACCACGTTAACTCACAAAGGAATACTTCATCTGTCATAGTGAAGACTAAGGGAAAACTTCAGGTCATCTTTCTGTTCCAGATTTTAACCATAAATATCTTATGTGTTAGAGGGCCCATTATCAAGAAATAAGGACACTTAAAGATGTCACAGTATTCAGGTAAGTATATTTAAATGCCAAAAAGTTTATAAAGAAACTAATAAGAAATTGTTGGGGGGCGCCTGGGTGGCTCAGTTGGTTGAGCGACTGCCTTTGGCTCAGGTCATGATCCTGGAGTCCCGGGATGGAGTCCCACGTCTGGCTCCCTGCTCAGCAGGGGGTCTGCTTCTCCCTCTGCCCTCTTCCCTCTCGTGCTCTCTGTCTCTCATTCTCTCTCAAATAAATAAATAAAATCTTTAAAAAAAAAAAAAAAGAAATTGTTGGAATTACCAAAGGATCTTGTGTGGAGGTTTTGGGTGGGGGAAGACCAGAGACCCAGATAAGTGGCTTGCATAGTGAAACTTCTCTAAAAAACGTCCCTCTTCCCAAGAGGGAAAGATTCTCTCCCGCTCCCAAAAAAAGAAGGAAGGAAGACAGCACTGCAAATTTTTACTTCATATGAAATTTGGATCTTACCCTAAATTTGAACTTTTTCTTCTTAAAATCAGGTTTTAGAAAATGGAGTTGAGGAGAGGAAGTCTATCAGGGAAGAATGTTTAGGATCAGTCCCTGAGAGATCACACAGATTCTTTTTCTTCAGTGCTACCCCAACTGCTCCGCTTACCAAAAGTCTAGCTATCCACAGAAAAGAACACTCAGATACATAAACTCACTAGAGAAATTCACCTTAAAGAATGAGTTTCTGAATATCCATTTTTCCAAAATCTGTTTCCTAGAATAAGAACAGTTGTAGCATTCGATTAATAAATAAAAGGCTACAAAAAGCAAACACAAACTCAAAAAGAATATCTGATGTAAGTATGACATCAACACATCAAAATGGAGTTTTTAGTCTTTTTGAAGAAAACTATAAGACTTTGTTAGGTTGGCATCCAGATTTAAAAAAAAAAAAAAGAAGAAGAAGAAAAGAAAGAAAAAAGAACTGACAACCAATAGATACTTTTACAGGTTAAATCTTGTTGAAGGTACCTTACCCCTCAGTACACTTTGATTTATTTAAGCTCACCACATTTCTCTTAAATACACTCCATTAACAAGCGATAGACTGTGATCTTAAGCTTGAGGCAAGATATGAAACACAATCTTTCAAGAACTTCATTCATTCCCTGTCCAGGTGTCTTGAGCACGCCCAACTCTAGTTACTTATCTGAGTTCTGTGAAGTTTTATTCAAATCAATAGTGTGGCTTTAGAACAGCACACTGTCAGGAAATCACCCCAGCAGCCCAGCAATTTGGACTCCCAAGTTCAGATTCATAGCAGGAGTGAAAGTCATCAGAGGAATGATAAAGAGCTGCAGGTTAAATATGAGAAAGCACCTCACAAAGACGCCTCTGACCTGCAACCTGGTGAACAAAGCAGATAGACACCCTTGTGGGGAAAACTCACAAAGCTTTCAAAACTGTTTCATAATCATTAGTGACTTAAATGGAAAATTAAATTAGCAAAAGCAAAGCCAGAAATCAGTTAAGCTTTAAGATTAGAAATGCCTCCTGTCTATTTAAACTACAAATCTCAGACACTAATTAATCAAATTATTAAATCTGAAAGGATGGCACACACCCCCCACCCCGGATATTTCTCCAAGTAAAGACAGAATTTGCACACTGACGCGACCAGCCTTCAGTGATACCCTATTAGTGTGACCCTATCTTTAATCTACAGACGTGATAAAATGTCCCAACATATACAAACTCAGCTCAAACAGTGACTAATGATCATTAATCCCCCTATCTTCAGTAATCTGCCCCTCCAGTCATTTATCACACTGACACTTCACTTTACACATGTGAATAAACTTTAACTGAGAAGGTGAATCAACAAAAATCTCAAAGGTATCTGAAGCTGTAAATTAAACTAGGGGGAGACACAGCAAAGAGAGACAAATAGAGAGATCAGATCTTAATGTTTTGGTTTGCATCCATGGCTGGGCGTGGGGGTGGGGAAACTATTCAGTCCTTCAGATCTGCAAACTAGGGGGAAAAAAAATCTACATTACAGAAAGGGCAATCTGGAAATAAGGAGAGGCAGTCCCAAAGAGCTGGTTTAATCTATTCATCCATTCCCTGCGAAATATATGAAAATTTCAGTTTTCTGTTTCCTTCAAAGGAATAACAATGTAATGAAGTTCTTAGTTTAGCTGCAAATGTTCCTTTTAGTCAGGAAGCATATTCAGTAGGCTAATTCTTTTACGGATCTGCTATCGTTTAGCTGATGTGCATTTTTTTTTCTTTTTCATAGTTCATTAACTTAAGTAAAATCCTTGGCCAAAATATAAACCATACCCATGGACCGCAAAAAGCTAAAACCAACCTTTCAAAACTGTTTCATAATCATGAAAATTGAGTGACTCTAAGTTACAGGCCCTGATGCAACTTGAAGGTCAGTATTCAACTATAAAAAAATCCCCCGAGGTGTACTCTGCGTGTGTGTGTGTGTGTGTGTGTGTGTGTGTGTGTTAAGGCCTGAAATTGGAGCCTTGATTGAAACCAGAATCTACCAAAAGGAAAGAAAGAAAAGTTGAGTCGTGGCTCACCCTTAGTAAAAGTTTCTTAGGGAGTGTGAAGAAAACGATTTTAAGTGTATCCTCGTCAGAAGGACCTCATTGCAGCATCCTTCCAACACTTCATATAGAGAGTTTCGGTACCATTTAGTTAATCGCCCAAATCATAAATTAAGCCTTGTTTTCCCTTGCCAAAGAAAATTCCCAGGCAACTAACTGTTCCCCTTCAGATAATTGCAACTGCCTGTTTTCCTTCTAAATCCAGCCGGGTAGAGTGGCTAGTTGATATCCCACCGTAAGGAGTTATTTCCTGAAGTTTCTTCAGAATCGAATTTAATTACAGACTTTGGTTACATAAAACAACTACTAATAACCCCTTGTACTCGGAAGAGGAGGGGCGAATTGAACGACCAGGTTCAGGAATCCTTGCGGGTCTCTTGGGCCCCAAGTTCCCCGGGCGCACATCTCCCTCTCCGAAAGAAGCGGCCGAAGGATGAAACTCATTTTGGCTCATCCTGAGGCCCCAAGCTCACCGCCAACCGCTCCCTCCTCCCACCCGTGAGCTCAGACCGTGCGTTTGCCCAGAGTGATCTGGGCGTGCCCTGAACTTGGCAAAAGGCCGAGGTCTGCGATGAGGCTTGGGGGTCTTGGGGGATGGGGGAAAAGGGCCGACCCAAAGTGCAAACTAAGAACCTTTTCGCTTAAAACTCCTACAGGGATCGAACCCCTCCAGCCTCAGAAGAGAGAGGTCGCAGAAATGCAGTTGGGGGGGGGGGCTTGATTCTGAAAAGTGGGGAGGGGGCGTGCAAGGGAGATGAAGGGTGAAGAAAGAAGACGCGAGGTTACCTGAACAGAGACATATTAATCCAAAGAGGTAAAAGTGAGCAGGCTCCGCGATCATTGTCCTCGGGTGGATCCTGCATACAGTCTCATGCCAAGAGGAGGGAGTAGAAATGGGGTCCCCAAATTTATGAAGCCACACACCACACACACTACACACAAAGGCTTAATATAAGCAACGTGGGTCAATCCGCCGAGAGTTTTCAGGGCAATTACTTGTCGACCTTTCCGGACGCTTGTCAATACCTCAGAGCCCTTTGCAGACTAAGAATTCCAAGGTTTGCCGCCTCTGGCTCCAGGGTTTCCGAGGAGGCTCGGCCACTTCCAAGCACCATCCAAAGCGAACAACAAAGAGCCGAGGCAGAAGAGCAGTTGTGCGGTTTCCTGCCTCCGGGTCTCGCCGAGCCTCCCGGCGTGCGCCCCCACACTGTGCGCCCGAGCGCCGCAGTGAGGGCAGGCGCGGCAGCGGCAAACTTGGGGTGAGAGAACGGATTGGGGGGGGGCAAAAAAAGTGCTTCTCCGTCCACAGTCTAGCCCAGTCAACAGCTGGCCACCAGCGGCGGCGAGGAAGGCAGCCAAGGCAGCGGCAGCAGCTCTGGAGGACGGGCAAAGGGTGCTGGGGGTGTGCCTGGGTGACTCCGCGCGCTGGGGCCGAACGAGGGGGCGGTGCGGCGACAGTGGTTGCCCGAGCGGGCCCTTGTTCCCATCACTTGGGGGATGCGGAGGGCACTGGGGACAGCAGCAGGTCCGCGGACAGACGCACGCCTCCCCGGTGCCCCCAGCCCCGCGCAGCGCTCACCATCGCCCCGGGTCCCTCGTCCGCTGGGGCGCGCGCTCAGGGCACCCCGAACTCTCCGCGGTTGGGACGCTGCAGCCCAAACTTCCTGAGGATAGCTGCCCGCAGCCCTGGCTCGTGGTAGCTGTAGAGAGGCAGCTCCTAGATCTCCCCGGGGTGGCGGAGAGGGGCGAGGAGGATGCTGCTGCGGGTGGGAGCGACGGCCGCCGCGACTCACCCGAGCTCCGCCGGGATCAGCAGCGTCTGAAGTTTCTGCTCTCACGCTGCCTCTTCCCTGGCTCAGTTGCTTGTGGGTTTCCCCACCGTCCCCGCGGCTCCCAGTTTCCTCCCTCTCCTCCCCGGCCCGCGAATACTTAAAGGGGCCGCGCAGGCCTTTCCGCGCTTCACTCTACACTCTCCAGACGCTGGTCTGGCAAGTTCTGCTCGTTAATATTTCCATCCGCCAGCCGGGGTGCCCGACTGCGCCCTCAGGTGAGAAACTGCTCAGGATCAGAAATCCAAACGAAAGGGAACTTGCCTTGTTTCTCTGGCTACCGCTGGCTCCCCTGCACCTTTCTCCAAATGGAACCTCCCAGCCAAAGACTTCAAAAATCCTCCTGGTCCAGTTTAACCTCTTCCTTACCGCTTCCAGGAGTTGGAATAAACTCTCAAATAACTCTACCCTACATTACTTTACATTCCCATTTTTGTTTTTAATCAAATGTGGGCAAACAAGCCTGTAGGACAGGAGGTAGAGTGATGACTATCTAGAATATATTAACGATTACACTCTATTGCATATTAGATGGGCACCCTATTACAAAAATCATGCTCTTTTAAATTGCAGTTGTTGATGGTCATGTAGACAGTCTATCCCACTCGAAGGGCACAGGGGTGAGCCATGGGGTCTTTCTTTTTGTTTCACCAAGAGCCTCTCCTTCAACTTCACTGACTCTAGGTATTAGAATGTTAACAACGGGGAAGTAATTCTGAAATGGGGATAAATGCAAAAAAATAAATAAATAAATAAAAATTCTTGACTATCCCAAAGTTTGTATAAGAGAAGCCATTCAGCATTTTCTAAATCAGAGGGCCTGGCCTTTGATACCCTATACACCCTCCCTGAAACCCCAAACTACCGGTTATTCTTTCTTTTATCATGCCAAACCTCAGTTTTCTCTTCTCAAAAATAGAGACGCTTGAGATATTAACAAATACTTTAAAAACCATACCCAAAGCAAACTACACCTGGCATATCTGAGGAGCAATCTTGCATTCATTCACTCTTTTTTTCTTTCTCTTAAATAAGACACTGTGTGTACAAAACACCTAAGACATGGTGAGTGCCCCATAAATGGTAAATACTCGTATTTAGAACTATTCTTCTTTCAAATGGATTATTGCCTATAAAATTATGTACAGTAACTTCAAAATTATTGTTTGGTATCTATCTGAATGTACCAGCCCTGCTTTCAGTGGTTGTCTCTGGCGAGGAGAAATGCATGCTGGATTTGGGTGGGGGAGGGATAGGGATGGATTGGCTCTTTTCTTTATGCTGTTGAGCTTTTCTATTTTTTTTTTAAGTGAGCACATGCATTACCTAATGAAAAATAAAATTTTAAAAGCAAATCATATATTCATTTTAGTTGTTGTTGGTACAACCAATGACCGTGGAGCAGCATTTTGTAGAAAGAAACTCTGGTTAATAGCACCTATCTCTGAAAGTGAAAGATATTTAATCCTGGGAAAGCTGACTGAAAATTCAGTAAACAGGCTGGAGATAAGAATTCAAAGACTCCAACCAAAATCTTTCCAGCAATAAAAACAAGAATGTGCAGTAACTGCTGGAAAGCATACATTGATTTGGTCTTTGTGAAAGGATATTTAATGAGAAACATAGAATATGTTCTTTCTTGGGATAAAACATGCTTGTAAGATAAGCTTACCCACTAACAGAAAATAAATAAGGTAAAGCATGGTACTTGAGAAAGAGAGAGGAGAAAATCCTTCAAACCCTCATATCATCTGAGGGCATTTTTTTTATTTTTATTTTTTTAT